AGCATTTGGAAAGTCTTATCTAATTAACAATATTTGCATTTTTGCAATTATGAGTGTGCATAATTAAAAAAAAATCAACTTTGGCGGTTACAAATTAATGCGAAAATGCGAAAACTTTCAAAATTTAAAAAATTTATTTCCTTAAACTTATTGTACAATATGTTTGAGGAATAAATAAATGAAAAATATGTTTAAAAACAGCGTTTGAATTTTAATTAATTGAAACCTGCCAAATAGTGTTGATTAATAAAAAGATTTTTCCATCATGTAGATTTCTATAAAAAATTATCTTTCAACGAAATTAACTTTATTAGATTGAAACATTTTTGAGAATTGAAAATCATAAGAGTGAGAATTTGTACTTTGAGAAAACAAAATAATGAAACTACATCATTTGCATTTAAAATTCGAATTCCATCGTTACGTTTTTAACATCAATTAAATTAAGAAACTCATCATACAATCATACATATCAATCGATTTAGAAAATTGCTTTCTGTCAAATTTTGCTACAGTTTTTTTTAACTTAGTAGAGACTTTGATGTTATTAAGGAAATAACAGTCACAGGACAGGACAGGAGAATGTACTCTTTTCGATTTTTTTTAAGAATGCTCAAGTTATTTTAATGCTCCTCGTAAATGTCATTTCATAGTTTAGTTTTTGTGGCAAAATTTAAGATTTAACTTGCCTACAGAGTAAAATCACTTTTGAATGTTCAACGAAATGTGAACCTAATAGCAGCGAAGTAATAAAAATTCATCAATTGCATTGAAAATTCTAACGTTTCATTACGTTTTTAAAATCATTTAAATTAAGAAACTCATCATACTATCCTACATATTAATCGATTCAGAAAATTGCTCTCTACTAAATTTCGATGCAGTTTTGCAGTTTTTTAATTTAGTGGATACTTTGTACTTGATGTCATTAAACAAATAACAGTCACAGGACAGGAGAATGCACCACTTCTGATTTTTTAAAAATAGAATACTCAAGTTCCTTTAATGCTCCTTGTAAATATCATTTCATCGTTTAGTTTTTGTGACAAAATTTAAGACTTAACTTGCCTACAGAATAAAATCACTTTTAAATGTTCAACGAAATGTGAACCTAATGGTTCATCAGATGAGAAAGAAACATTTCCGACAGAGTTCTGGACCACATCCACAAAGCAAGCTCTGAGAGGCATTTTATCATCTCAGGTTGGCTAAAGGCCAGCACAGAATCCAGTGATCCATGTTTTAGATTCGGCAGTTACAGTTTGACGATGCTTATTGCGTCTTGGAAAACATTTTCAACGGTTATGGCTAACATTGTTTCTGTCATGAAAATAAAAAGGTTTATTATTGTACTGCTTCCAGACACAAACACTTGTATGATTTATTATAGGATATTGCTCGGCTCATCGGATATTTTCATCATATGTTAGAGCTATTTGGTCAACAAAAGGATAAGAAATTAAAGAAGCTAAATAAAACTAATTAGAAGTTATCTTACACTGAGAAAAGAAATATGATCAAAACTACCATAATTTGGCAAAATTTACTGCGTTTCTGTCTGTATGGGAACATTAAAAAGCTCGGCAATTTTTATCGAAGCGCTTTGATGATGGTTTTGATAAAATTAACAATAAAATGTGGTCTTATAATATGTGATAAAATATGGTAAATGTTACAAAATATGGTAATTTTATCATCATACCTTAGAGCATGGCATAAAAATCATTTATTCGGTCAGATTTATTTTTCAGTTTTTCATTTTCACTAATTGTGTGGTAACAAAAATCATAATTTTGAAGTTGACCGTTACGATATAAACGGAAAAATCGCTAAATGAATAGTTTAAATACCGTATATAAGTATTATTTTTTTTAACTAGAAATGTCATTATCATACTGTAAGGTAATTTTACTAGAATTGTTTTCTCCGTGTAGTTTTTTTCTGTAAAGGGCAGAGTAATATCGAATTTTATGAAAAACATTAACTCAAATGTGATTAAAAATGTACTTCCTTTCCAAAAGCATTTTATTACCTGTCTTCAAACATTATTTTTAAGACTTTACAACGATAATTACAAAACATTGAATTAAATATGTAATAATTTTCTATTGAGAGACACTAAGAAACCTAATTTTTCTTTAGTTTTAAATATTTCAAAACTGATGCTTATTGAGCTGTAAAATATTTTATATCTCTCAAATTTAATGGTTTTTTTTAATCTTTAATGTAAATCACAGAAAGTAAAAATATTTTAGGATAGGATTTTGATAACTGTGGTTTAGAGAAGTAATCTGAGATAAAGGGAAAATGACATTGATTTTTATCAAACTTTCTGTTCATTTTTAAGCTGCGTTTAGTATTTTTTTTAAAAAATTTTGAGAAAATAATCAAAATTCTGTCAAAAATGCTTCACAACTTAAATGGTAACTATTTTTTTTCTTTTCTAACACATAAAACGCGTTTTAAAAATCAAGTTAAAGATGAGACCCGTTAAAACTTTTTAAAATGAGCCTGTCTTAAATATTAATATAATAATTATGATAATAATAATAATAATAATAGCAATAATAATAATAATTATATTAGAAATAAAAAAGAAGCATAATTTTTTACTATTTGCTAAAAAATAATATTTTTTATAAAAAAGCATAAAAATATATATACGTAGTATATCTTTTTCATTACTTCTAGATTAAAATCTTCTTTTATAGATCAATATAAATAAAAATTGTAATATAAAAAGAAAAGAAAAGCCATTTGGATGAACGCTCTAATGAATATTAACTTATGATCTTATAATATATCACTAATGCTTTTTGTTCTGATTAAATAAAAAAGTATTTTTAACCTTAATAACGTTAATTATTTTATGCTTTTACTTTTGATATAACTTGCGTATTTTTTTTTCTCAGTTAATGAAAGTTTTAGTAGTTACTTTATGCACACAACTTTTTCTACAGAAATAAAGTAGATTATATTTCCTGACTGTATGAGCAATTAAAATTCAAACACTCTAATACAGTTATAGACTGGCTTTGAACAGTTAGAAGTCCATATATTGAGTATAGTGCACATATATAGTACTGAAGGCCATATATATAGTAAATAGAATATTAAACAGCTCTAAGTGCTTTATAAACTTGGATCTAAGTAATGTGAAAGCTTCCTAGTTATGCAATGGATGTAGATGCTGTAGTGCTTCAATCAATAGTAATTAACTAATCTATAAATTTAGTCTAATCCTTCAATTGATAGTTTTGCATTTGAATTACATTATTAAATATATTTTGTGAATAAATCTCATTTCTGACAGAAAATAAAAGTAACATTATTTATTGAGCTGATTTTACAAGCACGCACATAAATTGTCATGTCATGCTACAAACCGATTTAAATTTAAAAGATGATTTATTACAATACATTTGTGTTACGAGAGGGAATACCTTAAATTTCAATTTTCCCCTAACTACTAGCACCTAAGATGCTTCCTTTTAAGAATTTTTTTTTTAAAGTATAAAATTGGGCAAGTTAAAAATTTATTTTGATATTATTTTCACAAAGGGCAGTTGTTTTAAAGGTAACAGAATTAATTTAACATAAATAACTAAAAAGGAATGCTCATTGAGGTATTTGGCGCTTAAAAGCAATCAGATTTATGAAAACTTCATATTTACAAGCAACTTCGCAGCTGAATATAAGAATTAATTCTGAACATAATTTATTCATTTTTAAACTATAAAATAAACCTGTTGAAATTTAATGAATATGTATTTTAAAAATATGATTTATATTTCTAGTTAATTAGGCTTTATAGCAATCAAGTATCGTACAGGTAAAATTGAGCATGTTTGCATCGTGAGATAGTTGTGGTAACGCCATTGGAAGAATGTCATTGGGTAATGCCATTGGAAAGGAAAGTTCAAAAACATTCCATCCTAATCTTAATGCTTATTTTGCAATAGTAAATATAATTTAATTTTATAATTTTAATATCACACTGTTAAAAAAAATTAGTTACATTACGGAAAATTTCTGGCAGAAAAGTTGCCAGAGATTATCTGTATTCTACGGAAAAAGCACGCTGACAGAAATTTCCTGTTACAGAACACTACAGAAAATATCTTTCACGCACCAGATATTTATTTTTTATTATTTGAATAAATAAGTCAGAGTACGACAGAGAAATTTGGCATGAAGGTAGCTGGATATTCTCGGGTTTGCTTAGTGAAACTGATTTCTAAAATTTTGATTAGTTTTTTTCATTGTTTTTAGAGATTTGTAGAGAATTTTGAGACATCGAAAACCATCACGTTTGAAAGAATTGAACGCAGGACCATCCACGTATGATCCCAACTTTTTGACCACAAACATGCCAATTGGCACCAGTTTTTATGTATCAAACTATTTGTTGCCGCTTTGATACCAAAGTTTTTCATATTCAAAAATAAAACAATCTGTATCTAACAGATATATCAATCTGTATCAATGGTTAGATTAGATTTTACTTGTTAATAGAAAAAATGCCTCTTTCGACAAATTGCGATGTAGTTTAACAGCGAATTTCTGTAGTTTTAGAGAACTGGAGTTTTCTGTAGGAAAGTTACAGAATTATTATGTTTTTAACAGGAATTTTTTACAGCGCACAACACGTCCATATCTCATCTGAAAAATGCAGGTTAGCGTTCCTGCTGCGAAGTCAATGGTTGCGGGTTCAAATCCTGCTTAGGGCATGGATGTTTCTCTTTATGTTATCCTCTGTTATGTGATGTGTGATTGTGGCCCACCCTATGAATGGTTATTTGTGGTAGTGTTGCGTGGGTAATGTTGATCACCTTTGTGATTAAGGTTCACAGGTGCCCACCGGGTAATGTTGAAGAGCAACACTTCCGGTAGCTTCCTAGGCAAAGAACGAGAGTTCAGTGCCTGCCGTAAAGAAAAAATCTTTTTGAAAAATTATTCAGGAAAGTTATGAAAAAAATCTTTTTAAAAAGGGGACTTACCAGATGCTGTATCAAGAGCGAAGTGGTCTTGGGGGTCTCCAGCAGTAATTTCGTATGAAATTCTCTGATCAGGATTCATATCAAGGTCAAAAGCATCCATTTTAACGACAGTTGTACCTTCTGGAGAATTTTCAGGAATATTTGGGTAATATGCTGGCTCGAATGTTAAAGGAGTATTATCATTTTCATCTTCCACTTCTATATAAACATCGAGACGAGTTGTTAGTGGTACAGCTCCTCTGTCTTGAGCAATGACAGTTAACCAATAACGTAGACTCGTTTCTCTGTCGAGTACTGCTCTTGTTCTTATGTTTCCTAAAAAATAAAGTATTTAAAACATATTGCAAAATACAAAGAAGATGAATTTTAGAGCAATGTATAATTTCCATACATAAAAAGATAAAATATTTGTTAAATTCAGTTTTAATAACAGTAAATTGAGCAAGGATAAACTAGTAAACGGCTCAAATAACACAGCTAGAATTTTTGGAGTGGGTTGAACTTATTATATGGTTCAATTAAATGATGGCAAATTTGAAATTGTGATAACTTGAACCATGTTATTGGATAATAATTGTTATTTTACACTATTCAAACAAAAGAGTAAAATAATTTTAAATATGATGGTATTCAAACTAGTAATTGTAGGAAAACCGTTTATTAACTGCTTTAACCTATTACAGTTAAACAACCAGAATATTATCGCACAAACTAGACCCACCTAATTAGTTTCTTACAGATGGGTACATATTAGAGCCGACAGCGCTAGTCTGTCAATCTCATGACATACAGAACGAAGGTTCGAGTCTCAGCTTTGACACCACAATAGTTTCTCTTTTCCTTTCAATTCATGAAGTGTTTCAAGTCTCCTGCAGTTTCCATTTTGCGACCATGGACCATTAAAATATGATGCTCTCATTCACACACATATAACAGCACCATAAAACTGCTTCTTTTTACGGTTTTGAAACCATGCTAGTTGTAAATGGTTAAGAAACCTTATAGTTTTTCATTCGTGGTTTTTTGACCATACTAGCTATAAACGGTTTCAAAGCCGTAGATGAAATTTTTTTTTTACCGTAAACTTTATGGTTGATCGGATGGACAGACTGCTGCCGATTATTTTACCATAATTTTAGAATTAAAATTCTAACAGTAAAANTAAACTAGTAAACGGCTCAAATAACACAGCTAGAATTTTTGGAGTGGGTTGAACTTATTATATGGTTCAATTAAATGATGGCAAATTTGAAATTGTGATAACTTGAACCATGTTATTGAATAATAATTGTTATTTTACCATATTCAAGCAAAAGAGTCAAATAATTTTAAATATGATGGTATTCAAACTATTAATTGTAGGAAAACCGTTTATTAACTGCTTTCACCTAATACAGTTAAACAACCAGAATTTTATCGCACCAACTATGCCCACCTAATTAGTTCCTTACAGATCGGTACATATTAGAGCCATAGGGCTAATCTGTCAATTTCATGACATACAGAACGGAGGTTCGAATCCCAGCGTTGACACCACAATATTTTCTCCTTTCCTTTCAATTCATGAAGAGTTTCAAGTGTCCTGCAGTTTCCACTTTGCGAAAATGGACCATTAAAATATGATGCTCTCATTCACACACACATATAACAGCACCATAAAGCTGCTTCTTTTTACGGTTTTGAAACCATGCTAGTTGTAAATGGTTAAGAAACTGTATAGTTTTTTATTCGTGGTTTTTCAACCATACTAGTTCTAAACGGTTTCAAAACCGTAGAGGTAAATTTTTTTTTTACCGTAAACTTTATGATTGATCGGCAGGCTAGACTGTTGTCGGTTATTTTACCATTATTACAATTCTAACAGTGTACTTAGATAGAAACTTGCTTCATTGGACAAAAAAGAAGAAAAAAATGTACTTAAAGCTTAAAAATGAAAATATTTTCTTAAAACGTTAATAATAACAAAAGGTTTTTAATTTTTTGGCAAAAGAGAATTTTATTTTATAGTAAGTATTTTTAGTACATATTTGTTAAAATTTCTTATATTTCAGTAAAATAATGACAAGTTCCATGTTTGAAGCCAATAAAATCTTCTGGGACAAACCATTTCAGATTAGTGCAGAGGAAAGAATCCTCCAATAATTAAAATGCGATTTTAAATACTGCAGTAAATTAAAATGAGATCGAAGAAATCTACAAAGGACAAACCAATCTATCAAAAACTCATTACCTATGAAATAAGTATGCAAACTGAGAACAAAGCCGATATCCTCTTAAGAATAAATGAGTGAGATGACTTTATCTTTTGGAGATTTGAAAAAGTTCATTTCTGTAAAATTAGATATTACAAAACTGAGTTTAGAAGAGTTTTATAAAAAATAATTTAATACTTGATGTAGAATATCTGTTTAATTTTTTTTAAAGTTTTCTTATCAATGCAATAGCTATAGAATGAGTTTCTAAAAATATTCATCAATTGTAGTTATATAGGTAGAGTGATAAAAAACAACTTAAGCAAATTACTTGATTAAAAACTTCATTCACTTCAAAAATATATAAATAAGAAATAATAGTTGGCATGTTTCAAGCGCTTAAAAACAAGAGCCAATTTTCAAGTTAGAAAGTAATTTAATATTTGATGTAAAATTTTTATTAAATTTTTTAGAAAGTTTTCTTATCAATGAAACAGTTGTAGATGAGTTTCTAAAAATATTCAGCAATTGTAGTTATATAAGCAGAGGGGAAAAAAAAACAGATTAGACATATGTTTTGTAGACATATGTAGTATTTTATGCTTATTGAAACATCTCATTCCAGCTTTCAAATAAATATGAAAATATTACAATATGAAACATATTTACAAATTTCTAATGTTATCATTTTTCTGCTAACTTTTCTTTATTGTATACAAGCTGCAAACGTGTCACTATATTTTATGCAAGAGGATAGTAATACACCAATTCATAATTTGTCTCATTTTTCACGAAATATTTTCTGGTATAACAGCCGATGGGATTTATCACAAACTCGTGACCCACAAATGGGCAAAAAGTGGATCAAATGTGGTGAATAAGGTGGCTATTCTTGTGGAGCAAGCAAGCCAAAAAAATGTGCTTTGTGCTATTTTTAAATGAGTTTAGCTCAGTTATAAACGAAGGAGAATCCAGTAGAACCAATGCACATTTTTACTTCCATAAAAATTTTATAGCTCTAGTAGAGATAAAAACTATTTGAATTTAAATTCTGTTTAAGTTATTTTATGCTACCCCTGTATCATCTTTTTTTATAAGACCCTTCTTTAGTTGACTCTAGAAATATTTATTTCTTAGGAATTAGTTACTGTGTTGTTTGATAGCTATAATCAGTCATGTCAGTTCAAATCTCAGTGTTATTATGGCTTGGAAAGAATGAATTCTCTGCCTTCAATTCATAGTAAACAATGTACTATATTGTATTCGCACTAAACTATGCATTTTTTGCACTATTGTTATGGTATATTTTTGTGATAGTTACTTGTGACTTTTAACATTTTTTCTCCTTTTTGAAAGCTCACATAAGTCTAGAAAATAAACCCCTGAAAAATTCACTCATCTATTTCACTTTCCGTGGAATTTATAATACGAGGATATCCTGTAAGCTAAGTTTCCTATATTTTTTGTTGCACATATATCCAGATATCTTCGATCATATTGCAGCATTTTGGAAGTTAAAAATTTGTCTTTTCTTTCTACACAATTACTACTTCGGTCGATGCATTTTTGTTAACTCTATGCCAGCTTTCATGGGCCCATGTCATATCATCTCTCTGCTATGTCCTTAAGACTACATTTTCAGCTTCACACGCTTAATCGTCACTGATCTGCACTAGCTTCAGTGGAAAATCATTACAGATCAACTCTATTATCCAGACTGGGGACCGAATGACTGCCATCCGGTTCCTGAGTTGAAAGGTTATTTAAGTGGAATTCGATTCAATTCCAATAAATAGTTGAAAGTAAATGCAAGTACATGGCGGAGAGTTAGTATGACATGGGCATTAAAAAAGTTTATAAAAACGTATCAACAACAAAAGGGGCGATGAAGTTGAAAAAAAGAAAAAATGTCAACCTCTAAAATCTGAAGGACATAAGCGGATCTGTTTATTTCACGGAAAAAAACAGAAACTAGGGTATTCTAGAAAAGCAGGGAGCCTTACTTTTAGGTTTGCTCATGGAATACATCTTAAAATTAGGAAGTTAGTATGTCTGAAAGTAATAATTGAAAGTAATTAACTTAATTTTTTCCTTTTAACATATTCCAGAAATATAAACTAAAAAGGAACAAAAATAACAACGATTTGATCCTGCTATAAAGAATTTAAAACGAAAGAAAACTTTTTTCATAAAAAACAATTCCTTTATTTCAAATTTTAAATGTGAATCTTGTTTTAAAGTAATTTAAAGGCAAAAACAGGTAATTACACAATGGCTTCTAAAAATAAAAATTAGCTATCAAGATTTATTTTTATTTTAATGTAGAGATTATTATAGAAGAAAAAAGAAGACTTTGGATTGTTTAGGTATTAATAGTTATTCTTTTTAAATGTGTGTCTTGAATATTGAAAAAAAACTAACAAACAAAATGTTTGTTTAGAATAATTAATAGGGAAACTACTTAAAAAACATGAAATGCATAAATTTAATTAAGTAAGTATTTTGATGACTGCAATCCTTTATTTTTAATTAAGCTAGTGAATTACGTCTGGACGTTTAAAGGACATTTTGTAAATGAAAGAACATTGCTAATTTTATTTTACCTTTTATTATTAAAATAGTGCTTAATTTATGTTTAAATTGTCCGTGACTAAGTCATGCATTTCATTAAAAAAATAGTCTGGTTAATTTTATAGTTTAATAAATCTGTAGTTAAAAATTTTCCGTTAAAAACTAAAAAAATTTTATAATGGATTCTAGAAAACAGAAGTAAAATGTTGAAACAGCTTTAATTTCTTAATTTTTTTAATCTCTAATCTAACTCTTGGATGAATTAATAAGCTCCTATTTCTTTTTTAATTATTCTGATAAAATTACTTTTTAAGTTTGAACTTTTTTAAAAACTTCATTTTTAAAAAAAATCAATTCAACACTAAAAGAAAGAAACACTTAACATTTTTGAAACCATAATTTTATAATAATTATAAATAAGTAATGATGAATTATTAGTATAGAATATAATAATTTTTGATGAAATGCAAGTTAATTCCCGAAAAAAGGAAATCCATCGTTGTTAAAACAAATAAATAAAACAATTTTCAAAGGATTATATTTTAATTCTTA